GTATTACTGATTTTTTTCCATCTGACACATCTTTTAGAAGGCTAGATTTAACCAGGGCTATTAGCAAAATTTTTGGTATTTTTCTTTCTTTCTCTCTTTCTTTCCCTTTATCCTTACTTAGATATTTCACTCAGATCTAAGGTTATTTTCTCCAAATCCTCCTCATGAGATTTCGCTCCCATAATCTACCTTAAAACGTTTCCTACCTAATTCCAAAGATAAGTAACCAGCCATCCTTGAATCAGGCCCTCATCATGTTTTTAGATCCATCCTTTTTTTTTTTTTCTAAAAAGTATGCTAGGTATTATGATTTGTGGGTCTGAAAGACAATCCTGCCCACTAAAAAATCTGATCTAACTCAAAAGATTGGGTTTCCCCAAATCATAAATCTTGCTCATAATCAATAATTACTCATTATTTCTAGAATATTATAATTAAAAACATAAGTAAAGCAGGGAGAAATCCAGGATCTCTAATGCAGCTTCCCTGTCCTTTCGTTCCACAATGCTCTGACTCAGATTAGAGTATTCAGTCTTAAAGTGATGTTTGTAGTCAAATGATTTACACAGAGGAGACTTTAGGTCATGCAGCATCTCCATTTATATTCTAACAGCTATCAACTTAGGGAACATTATCCAGGAAGTTTATACCCCATAAATCTGTATGCTATAAGCTTACTTAAATAATCCTACACAACTAGGTTCATTATGCTAAAAGAAAACCATAGAAAGATTCACTTGCTGAAAAATATCATCAAATTGTCTATATGGAGGTCTACCATTAGCACATTTAAAGGGAGATTTTTTTTCCAGTTTTTATTTTAGATTTGGGGATAAATCTGCAGGGCCATGACATGGGTGAATTGTGCGATGCTGAGGATTGGGATATGACTGATCTTGTCACCCAGGTAGTAAGCATAGTACACAATAAGTACTTTTTCAATCCTTGTCCTCCTCCCTACTCTACTTGTCCCCATTGTCTATTGTTCTCATCCTTATGTCCATGTATAAACAATGTTTAGTTTCCACTTACATATAGGAATATGTGGTATTTGGTTTTCTGTTTCTGCATTCATTTGCTTAGGATAATGACCTTCAGATGCATCCATGTTGCTGCAAAGAACATGATTTCATTCTTTTTTAATGCCTGTGTAGAGTTCCATTGTGTATTTGTACCACATTTTCTTTATCCAATCCACCACTGATGGGTACCTAGGTTGATTCCACATTTCTGCTACTGTGAATAGTGCTGCAATGAACATACAAGTGCATGTATATTTTTGGTAGAATGATTTATTTTCCCTTGTGTATACCCAGTAATGGAATTGCTGGGTTGGATGGTAGTTCCATTTTTAGTTCTTTGAGAAATCTCCAAACTGAATTCCACAGTGCCTGAACTAATTTACATTCCCACCAAAAGTTTATGTGTTTCCTTTTCCCTACAGCCTCACCAACCTCCGGTCGCTTTTGTTTTGTTTTGTTTTTATTTTATAATAATAGCCATTCTGACTGTACTAATCCTACAAAACTCTTCCAGGAGGAAGGACTCCTCCCTAATTCATCCTACAAAGCCAGCATCACCCCAATACCAAAATCTGGCAAAGACACAATGAAAAATAGAAAACTACTGACCAGTATACCTGTTGAACATAAACACAAAAATCCTGAACAAAATGCTGCAAACCAAATCCAATAGCACATCAAAAAGTTAATTCACCCTGATCAAGCAGGCTTTATCCCTGGAATGCAAAGTTGGTTCAACATATACAAAATCAATAAATGTGATTCACTACATAAACAGAAGTATAAACAAAAACCATATCATCATCTCAATAGACACAGAGAAAGTGTCTGATAAAATCCAATATTTCTTCATAATAAAAAATCTTAATAAAGTAGACATCAAAGGAACATACCTCAAAATAACAAGAGCCATCTATGACAAAGCCACAGCCAACATCACACCGAACAGGCAAAATCTGGGATCATTCCCCTTAAGAATTGAAACAAGACAAGAATGCCCACTCTTACTACTCTGATTCAACATGTTACTGGAGTCCCAGCAGGAGCAATAAGGCAGGAGAAAGAAAATTCATCCAAATAGGAAACGAAAAAGTCAAATTATCTCTCTTCACCAACAAAATGATTTTATAGTTAGAAAACCCTACATACTTCACCAAAAGGCTCCTAGAACTAATAAATAACTTCAGTAAAGTTTCAGGATACAAAATTAATGGGCAAAAATTAGTAGCATTTCTATACACCAATAATGTTAAAGCTGAGAGTCCAATCAAGAACAAAATCCTGTTTACCATAGCCGTACACAAAAATAAAATACCTAGGAATACATCTAACCAAGGGTGAAGAATCTCTACAAGGAGACCTGCAAAACTGCTGAAAAAATGGAAAATAATTCCATGCTAATGGATCAAAACAAACAATATTGTTAAAATTGTCATACTGACCAAAGTAATCTAAAGATTCAACATTGTTCCTATCAAACTACTAATGACACTTTTCAGAGAATTAGAAAAAAACTATGCTAAAATTTATATGGAACCAAAAAATAACCCAAATAGCCAAAGCAATTCTACAATTAAAAAAAGCCAGAGACATCACATTACCCAACTTCACTATACCATAAGGCTACAGTAAACAAAACAGCACAGTACTGGTACAAAAGCAGACACATAGATAAATGGAACAGAACAGAGAACTCCAAAATAAGGCCACAAATCTACAACCTATGATCTTCAGCAAAGTTGACAAAAGCAGTAGGGAAAGGACTCCTTATTTAATAAATGGTGCTGGGATGGCTGACTATCCATATGTAGTAGAATAAAACTGGACCCCTACCTATTACCATATACAAAATTTAATTCAGGATGAATTAAAGACTTAAACATAAGACATCAAACTATAAAAAATCTAGAAGAAAACCTACAAACTACCCTTCTGGAAATTGACCCTTGGCAAAGAATTTGTGACTAAGTCCTCAAAAGCAAATGCAACAAAAACAAAAATTGATAATTGGTACCTAACTAAACTAAAGAGATTCTGCACAGGAAAAGAAACTACCAACAGAGTAAACAGACAATCTACAGAATGGGATAAAATATTTATAAACTATGCATCTGACAAAGGACTAACGTTCAGAATCTATAAGGAACTTAAGCAACTCAGGCCAAAAAAAAAAAAAATACTCATTAAAAAGTGGGCATAGGATATAAACAGACACTTCTAAAAAGAAGACATACAGGGAGATTTGATCAGTCTATCTTCTTTCTTTCCCTGGGGTGTCCCTCCAGGAATGAGAGCAAATGGACTGCAGAGCTGTGGTGTACATATTTTTTTCGTATCTTCTTAATATGTTTATGATTTAAAAGCATGCATTGGAATTAACCTACAAATAAATATAAATCAATCCCTTGAAGTCATCCAATAATGCTTGCACATATGGCAATTTTATTTGGATCACAAAATATATGTCTTATAAGTTATTGTGAATATGAATGAGCTTTGTGATACTGTAGATGAATATTTAGTTAAACAAATGATGCATGAAGGCAGTAATTAACACAAAAGTCCAGGAAATGTGGTGGAGCTGCACTGTGCTCAGAATAAGGACATGATGGCCTATCCATATTAACCACATTCTTATCTTCTCTCCTCACTAATATATCTTGAGTCCAGTGTCCAGCCCTGGCCCATTCGATCACCTCCAGGAATGTGGAATTTCATGGCACAGACTTGGATGTTGGGGAGTATGCCTGCGGTTAGAGTTTAAATAACTATGGGTGTGACCTACATGGATGAATGAATTAGTTGAGCTAATGGGGGAAGGTTTCACCTCAGAAACAAGGAAAATTTTTCTAGTAACTAAAGGTCTACAGACAGAAATAGGAGGAAGTTTCTGACTTGCAAAGGAGATTGGAAAAGACAGAATCTAGATTCCTTTTATGAGAGTCTGTATTTCAATTTCACTCTTAAATAGAAAAAATATTAAACATGTAAACACAATAAAAGTCCATTTCCACAGGCTAGGAAATCTATTTTGTTTAGCCAAAATATCCATTTGAAATTGTATATAGCTTTTAGGACAAATGTAGATATTTATACATTTCATTATTAATAGCACCAAAGGTCAAAACACAGTAGTGAATAACATTTAACTGAAAAAAATTAAATGTTAGAAAAAAATTATAATTTTAAATAATGTATGAATAACTATTCAGTACAGATAATAAAACATTTTCTCTTTCTGAAAAATACTATTATTGATTTTAAAATATATACCTTCCATAGCAGTGATGCATAAGTCTAAGAAAAATGTAGTAATTTGTGGACAAAACTATCTATTTAATTTATTTTGACAGTAAGTTGTTTATAGAGAAATATTCTAATTCACCACAGTAAATTTTGCTACTTCTACTTTCATAAGCAAACAGTTTTAGGCATTCTTAAAATGCAAATAAGTGACTATTTTAGTCACTGTTCCTGCACTCTTTCATTTATTCTAGAGAAAAGTGGGCTAAACTATTTTAACCATGACTGAGAATAGCTGATTGCAGATGCTCACTCAGAATTCTAACATTCCTTCCTCTATGTATTCATTATTTACTATGCTGAGTCTCTTTCACAAGCCTAAAATTCCAAAACTATGTACTCCTAAAATTGCAATTTACTGATTTAGGTCCAGAAGACATGTATGGATAGTATACAGCTATGCATTTGCTGCATAGTGACGGGTCATAATGAAACACTAGCAATTTAGCACATTGTTTGTAGTGATTACTGGATTGTGTAAGTTCTGTTTTAGCCCCGTAATTTTAATGGCCTTACTCATTTTAATAACTTTAGTTCTATTTTCTTCAATTCCATTTTGTGAATAGGACTTTCTAAAGGCTTTTATATAGGGATACTATGGTATCTTCATTGAAAATTTAGAGGATGTTATGAAATATCCATCCAGTTCGCATCCATATTTCTTTAAACTCTCACTGAAGGTGCAGCTACCAATACTCACATTTTTACCATAGGATTCTGCATTCCTGGACATGATTGAGTGGACCAGCGTAGGACACCTGACTCAAGATGGATTAATGAAGAGAGAAGATAAGAATGTGACAAATATGGAGAAGCCATGATCTCATCATCTTGGGGGAAGTGGAGCAGGAAAATAAAAGGAAGTAAAAAGAGAAAGAAAAAGACAGCTGATCTGCAAACGAACATGAATGGACCAGTCCTGGTGAGCAGCAAAAAGATAAAACAGGAGCAGATTCTGGCTGTGGATTCTTATCTTTGGCAAACTTTTCTTAGGTCCCTCGGCATTTCTGACTAAAGGTTCCCATGAGACACTTCAGTGTCCTTATAGAATAGCACATTTTTGTTCCTGACCTAATTTAAACTATTTCCCATTATTTGCATTCACAACATCCTGTAACAATGCTTATTTATATATCCTTAGGACTGTAGCGTGAACTTTATTTATATCAATTGACCTAATCCCCAATCATAATAGTAAACTGGGTATTAACCTCATTCTGCAGAGGAAGATGAAACATATGACTATAAAGCATATGCTAAGCCCTATGTCAGTACGGGCTGTTATCACTACCCTGCTAAATTGAGAGTCTCTTCAGATCAGGTCATATTCTGATTTTATTTTGTACTTTGTTTCCGTTTCTAATGCACATCATTTTCCTTTGATACACTTAGTATCAGTAGTAGTTATAAAATATATGATCAGACCCCCAAAATTGAGAATTCCTGAGTAATAATATAAATGTGTGAGCTTACAGGCAATATTGTGTGTATATGTGGTAGTGGTGTGTGTGTGTGAGAGAGAGAGACAGAAGCTGTATGCTCTTTTGTGTCTCTTTCCTCTATCTCACGAGATTTTTATAATAGGTTTTAATTTAGACACTATATCTCAAATAATATAAAATTTTTATAACATCTGGATAGTATGTGTACTATTATAAACACCTTATAACGGAGCTTATAAATATAATATTTGCATAGCTAATGTCTTTTTTACATATTACACTATAAAGAATAATTCTTATTAAATATGAGTAAAATAAGGTTCTAGGTTAACTCTGCTGTTAGTCAACCTAAGGGGTGAATCCATATCTTTGGATTTAAAAATTCATGTTATTTCCAATTATTTTGGAACATTTGTTTTTTTAAAGAAAACTTCTTAAATTAATAAAATGTTAGTACGTTAAATAAACATATTAAGCAAGGAATACATATTTCAGATCAAGGAAGCTAAAGAGGGATACTTATTGCATAGTTACCACATACCAGGCATTGTGCCAAGGGATTCTACATGTGTGTTTTCATTCGATCTTCAAATCAAACTATTGTGACCCATGCCATCTATCACGGAGCAGTGCTAGGAGCAAGTAGATAATGGGTAGTTCCGTAAGTGATTCTGAGTCTCAGAAAGATCATTATGGATTATTTTCAATCATGATTCAGTTAGCTTTGCCTGTTTACTGTAAGTACAAAATGTCTCATAGCCAAGCAATGTATAAATAAAGCAGCCTTAGGCTACTGAGTTGGGAGAATTACCTAGGTTTCTGATTTTGGGTTTGGGCCAAGAAAATGTGAAATCTCTCAAAACTAACTCTACCTTCTACAGGCTCCTCTCTTGACTGGTCCATCCTGCATGGGAACATGCATGCTTTTTGTCTCTCCATGACTATAATTTAATAGTAAACAACCACTACTACACCATCTGCAGTAGCAGCCCAATGTAATTCTCATGGAGCCAACGGATATTGTAATAACACTACTTAAGAACAAGAAAACACCGATGATGCACTTCTCTCTTTGAGGTAAGAAAAGTTTTTTTTCATGAGGGAATATCTTAGAAAGTAAAGTATGTATAGCATTTTCATTTAACTTTTTACTACCCAAACTAACACGCCCATATATGTATATATACAGGGGTGGTAATTTTGGCAATGTGAGAAATTTTGGCAACACCTCCTTTACTAGAGCATTATGCATATTTCAGATTCTAAGAACATAGAGCATTCAGGAATCCTGCCTACTGTTTTCCTCCTACTAAAGATTTTTTCTTTATCCTCTCACACTATTAAAAAAACACAAAGCTTGTGTCTTTATAGCAGCATGATTTATAATCCTGTTGGGTATATTAACCAGTAATGGATGGCTGGGTCATATGGTACATCTAGTTCTAGATCCTGAGGAATCGCCATACTGTTTTCCATAATGGTTGAACTAGTTTTACAATCCCACCAACTGTGTAAACAGTGTTCCTATTTCTCCCACATCCTCTCCAGCACCTGTTGTTTCCTGACTTTTAATGATCGCCATTCGAACTGGTGTGAGATGGTATCTCATTGTGGTTTTGATTGCTTTCTCTGATGGCCAGTGATGATGAGCATTGTTTTCATGTGTCTGTTGGCTGTATGAAGTCTTTCTTTTGAGAAATATCTGTTCATATCCTTTGCCACTTTGATGAGGTTGTTGTTTTTTCTTATAAATTTGCTTTGAGTTCTTTGTAGGCTTCTGGATATTAGCCTTGTGTCACTGATGAGTAATTGCCCACAAAATTTTCCTCCCATTCTGTTAGCACGTTGCCTGTTCACTCTGATGGGTACGTTTCTTTTTGCTGTGCAGAAGTCTCTAGGTTTAATCTAGATCCCAATTGTCAATTCTTGGCTTTTGCCTGCCGTTGCTTTGTGTTTTTAAGACATTAAGTCTTTGCCCAATGGCCGTTCCTGAATGGTACTAACCTAGATTTTCCTCTAGGATTTTTATGGTATTTAGGTCTAACATTTAAGTTCTAACCATTTTGAATTAATTTTTGTATAAGGAGTAAGAAAGGATCCCAGTTTCAGCTTTTCTACTTATGGCTAAGCCAATTTTTCCAGCACCATTTGATTAAATAGGGAAACCCTTTCCCCATTTCTTGTTTTTTCAGGTTGTGTCAAGGATCAGATGACTGTAGAATGTGTGGTATTATTCTGAGGACTCTGTTCTGTTCCATTGTCTATATCTCTGTTTGGTACCAGTACCAGCTGTTTGGTTACGTAGCTCTGTATAATAGTTTGAAGTCAGGTAGCGTGATGCCTCCCAGCTTGTTCTTGATTTACGGATTCGTCTGGCAATGCGGCGCTCTTTTTTGGTTCCGTATGACTTAAACGCAGTTTTTTTCACATTCTGTGAAAGAAACTCTTGGTAGCTTGATGAGATGGCATTGAGGGTAGGTGTTTTATTGCGCAGCGTATTCACATAGGCAAAGACTTGAAATCAACCCCAAATGTCCATCAGTGACACGACCTGGGATTAAGAGAAATGTGGCCATATACCACCATGGATACTATGCGCTCAACAAGATGAGTTCGTGTCCTCTTGTTAAAGGAACTGGAGGCAGCTGGAAAACCATCCATCTAGCAACTATTTTCCACAAGATAATCAGAAAACCAATCACCCGGTCAGTGTCCTCACCATAGTGGGCAACTGAACAATGCCGCATCACTGACTCAGCCAGGGGAACATCCCACCGGGCCTATCATCGACTGTTGGAAGGGGAGGGGATTGCATTGGGAGTTACCCTGATGTAAAATGTGAGTTGATCGGTGCTACGAGTTGAGGGCTGCAGCACAGCAAGCATGGGCACAGTGGGTATTACATATGTATAAAACCGTGCAACGTTATGCACATGTACCCTAGAACTTAAAGTATAATAATAAATAATAACATAATAATAATAAAAGAAAATGATATATATATATATCTATCATATATGTATCTATTAACAAATTGCTCCAGACTTGACTTTGCTATCTTATCTAAAATTTTCGAAATGGGAGAAGAAAATTAGCCATAGAAAGAGTAACTTAATTTAGAGCACGTGGCATAAAACATTTAATCTCGATCCTGCTATTGAGTTTTAACTTCCCTGTAATATGTAGTTTAAACTATGCTGTTCAAAATTAGAAATATAAATCCTCAGGCCCCATCTCAGATTACAAAATTAGAATCTCTGAGTTCTAACCCAAGTTTCTGTGGTTGAATAGGTGATTTTTATGAATGCTTATAACTTGTATTTAAACCAGAATCATAAAAATTTGTAGGTGTTACTGTAGGGGTGACTCATAGATGAAAATTCCTAAGGTACAGATGAAAGAATATGGAAGAATTCTCAGGTGAATACCATATCATTAACCTTGAGGCCTTCAAACAGGATTGCCAACAATTTAAGGAACCACCCATGCCTCTGCCTGTATCAACTACATTCGGTCTCTCTGAGCTCGTATTTCTTCACCTGTGATCTGGTTTTACTCTGTTCTGAGGAGGTGATCTCATCAGGCAGACAATGAATACTCAGAGAGAGGTCCAAGGGCTTTCTCTCTGCTGTTCTGTTCAGCTTGGATCAAGCGTACAATTTTAGTCCCCAAATTCTTCCACAGTATTGCATTCAATACATAGGACTTAATGATATTGTGTTCACTAATACAGATAATGCTAAAGTTGAAAGAAATCTTAGCTTTATCTATTCCATGTACATTTTGCTAAAGTATAAACTAGCACCCTGAAAAGTGGTGCCAAGCTCAGAACTATGGAGCCAGAAACAATGTGAGAAACCAATTCCATATACCCTGACTCCTGAGCTGCTTTTTTGTTACTGTATGGTACTATCTCTCTCTGCAATCAGTTAAGAAACCAATTTCATATACCCTGACACCTGAGCTGTTTTCTTGTTACTGTATGGTACTATCTCTCTCTGCAATCAGTTGAATTCAGTCTGTGGCATGAAAACAAACTGAAGTGAAGTGACGAGTTGTATTTTATGTGGAATGGAGATATCAGATATCTAAAGTAAATTTAAAGTAAATCAAACCTTAATAGTAGATAAGATATAATTACAGATATTAAATGGTCTTCATTAACTTTGCATTTTTCCACACTACAAATTTATCCTTAATTTCTCCACATGCATTCGTATGTTCATTGCAGCACGATTTACAATAGCAAAGACTTGGAAGCAACCCAAATGCCTATCAATAATAGACTGGATAAAGAAAATGTGGCACATATACAAATACCATGCAGCCATAAAAAAGAATGAGTTCATGTCCTTTGCAGGGACATGAATAAAGCTGGAAGCCATCATTCTCAGCAAACTAACACAGGAACAGAAAACCAAACACTGCGTGTTCTCACTCATAAATGGGAGTTGAACAATGAGAACACATGGACACAGAGAGGGCAACACCACACACCAAGGCCTGTTGGGGGGTGAGGGGCAAAGGGAGGCAGAGCATTAGGACAAATACCTAATGCATGTGGGGCTTAAAACTGAGATGACAGGTTGATAGGTGCAGCAAACCACCATGTATACCTAGGTAACAAACTTGCACGTTCTGCACATATATCCACAAACTTAAAGTAAAATTTTAAAAATGTATCCTTAGAAAGTTTAATTATTTATATAAATTATATATAAAAGTTAAGAAAAACATGCATTTAGGAAAACCATATTTTATAATTCCAAATGAAACTTTTAGGTGAGTGGGGGACTGTGGAAAAAAGATGTGAATATCTGAGGTTGACAAGAATCACTGAAATCATGTACAAACTCTGTTTCTTACCTAGTGGTTGCTTTCTCCATCAGAGACAGAAAGCATCAAATGCAGACATGTAAGAACCCTGCATGGACTGTGTTCACCTACCACTGGACTTACCAACTCCAGGCAAAATATGCTCCAATATTAAAATCACATTTCAAAGTATATTTAATTTTGCTGTTCTCAAATGAGAATGACACTATTATGAGATCTCTGGCGTGTCGATTATTCTAGCCAGAAACTTCTGTCACAGCAGCACCTTTGCTGGAGTTCTTGTCCTGCATCCAGGAAGAATGAGGTATGCAGACAAATGAAGGAGAAAGAAGAAGAGTTTTATTTAGCATTAGAACAGTTCAGAGGAGTGGGTAGCTCCTTTCTGTAGGCAGGGCATCCAGTCGAGTTGTCAGCTCTCTGCAGAGAGGAGGCCCTGGAGAATTTCTGCAGGTCTCTGAAGCTCTCAGTGGAGGGGGTAGCTCCTCTCCGCTCACTGGTTGTTTCTGCAGCTATCAGCAGAGAAGTTACTCCTCTCTGCAGCTGGTCTTCAAGTCCCATTGTCTCTCTACCCTCTTTGTCCCTTGGCCATCCTCTGCCCTGCTCTGGCTGAGCCCAGGTGTATTAGTCCATTTTTACACTGCTGACAAAGACATACCCGGGACTGGAAACAAAAAGAGGTTTAACTGGACTTACAGTTTCACATGGCTGGGGAGGTCACAGAATCATGGAGGTGAAAGGCACTTCTTACATGGCAGCAGTAACAGAAAAATGAGGAAGAAGCAAAAGCGGTAACCCCTGATAAACCCATCAGATCTCGTGAGACTTATTCACAATCACAAGAATAGCATGGGAAAGACCAGTCCCCATGATTCAATTACCTCCCCCTGGGTCCCTCTCACAGTACATGGGAATTCTAGGAGATAAAATTAAAGTCGAGATTTGGGTGGGGACGCAGTCAAACCATATCATTCCATCCCTGACCCCTCCAAATCTCATGCCCTCATATTTCAAAACCAATCATGCTTTCCTGACCATCCCCCAAAGTCTTAACTCATTTCTGCATTAACCCAAAAGTCTGCAGTTCAAATAGTCTCATCTGCAACAAGACAAGTCCCTTCTGCCTATGAGCCTGTAAAATCAAAAGCAAGCTAGTTACTTCCTAGATACAATGGGGGTACAGGTATTGGGTAAATAGAGCCATTACAAATGGGAGAAATTGGCCAAAACAGAGGGGTACAGGG